GTGGTAAGAGCACGTACCCTCCCGAAGACTCGCCCTTTGATTACTCCATTCTATTGGTGGGGAGCTGCACCTGCTGGAAAACGGGTCCAGCGTCTCTTATATCAAAGTATAGATCATATGAGTGCTGCCCGAGTGTCCTGTGGGAGAACCAAGTCATCCTTCTCATCCCACAGGTATCGAGAAAAAATCACCCGACTGTTCTCTCCGAAAAAGACCCACTTGTATTCTGAGGCCCAGGCTTTCAATAAGGAAGACTGGGCCAGATCTATCAAGGGAGCCCCTACCTTCTTCTTTCTGTATTCTGCCAAAATCAAATTTCTAACAGATAGCTTGAAGCTGTTCCGGATCCTGGGGATTGACCATGAGACCCCACAGAATCTACTATCCCTGCGGGCTAACCAAAGGACCCAGAAACCAATAATTCTGAATTTATTTGCTATCCGGATTCTAGGACTATTGCCCTGATCTCCGAAGAAAATAAAGCTCTTGGTCCAAAAATTCATGTCTTGGTATGCTGAAACCACATTCTACCAACCCAGTCCCAGAATCCTCTCGCCACCACACATTCCCACCAGAGGTGGGAAGAATCTTCCAGGGAACTGTGTATGAACCCAAGTTGGAACTGGACTTGACAATTGAAGAGCAGGGGACTGCTTGCGCCAAGAGTTCCAGACATTGATCTATAGTGAGGACGCTTTGGAAAAGAGCTTGTATCCCGTTTGAGAAGTGTACTTTGGGAGAGGGATGACTGAGATCTCAGAGGTCTCTGCGGTGAACCTCCATCCCACCTTGACCTCATCCAGTTTCCAATCCCTGAATGGAGAACCGCCTTTGAGCGGCATTGTGACCTGTCTTCCTTGTTTGTTGGTAGTCTGTGAAACTCTCACTTCCTGATGACTCGACAGTGAGATGTGCTCACTATCCGTATTACTGCGGTACAAAAGGCTGTTCCTTTGCCTCCATACGGAAACCTCCGCTGAGTTGTCACTGCTGGTGTTCAGAACTTGGTAGAAGATGCTGGGGTTGTCCTGGTCCCTCCACCTGGACCCGACTTCTCCATGTGCCGCAGAGGAGAGCTTATCCTTCCAGGAGTCCGGGATGGCTTCAATCAGCAATGACCGATGAGTGCCGACATTGTGGAGTCCTCTGAGCTTCCTTCTTAGGTACTCTTCTGGCTTCCAGTCCGCCGTAACTGTGTCCCATAGATGCTCAACTTTCCATACCCCCTTTTGTATCCATTTTCTGGCGAAATTGCCAGGGCTAATGGAGACCGAGAAGGGATGGCCTGAGTTATTCAGTATGGATGGGTTTTTCAAACAAGCTTGCAATCAGGATTTCAGACAGCGTGGAAGGAGGTACGGATGAAGAGGGGAGTATCATGGACCAGGCTTTGAGGATTGGGCCCCATGTGGGGGATTTCACAGATTTCACTAGTGGTGGGTACAACAGGGCATGCCAAACTGCTTCTGGGTCAGCGAAGTCCCATTCCTCGGCCAGTATAGTCTGTGCTAACTGAATCCAGGGTTGGGGTTCGGTGGAGGTGATAAGTCTAACCGACCATTTTGCTAATAGAGCTGAATTTTGTGCCTCTGGGTCAAGTATACCCAACCCCCCGTCCTTCTTTTTCTCAGTAATTTTCCACCAGGCTACCTTACTGATACATGACGGAGTGTTAGCGTCCCCTTTCCAAATGAACCTGGTTAGCAGTTGTTTGATTAGGTTGGCGGATGAGGAGGAGATCTGCCTGATGGCTAAGATGAACCATACCGTTGATAGTATGGAACAGTTTGCCACCAGGGCTCTTCCAAATAATGA